CGGGGAGGGGGGCCGCGCCCTCCGCCTCTGCGGGGCGCGAGCGGCGCGGAGACCGTGGGGGGTCTCGGGGGGCTCCCGGAGGACGAGGCCCGGACTAGGCCTGTGGGGACCAGCCCGGGCCGGGAGCCCCAGAGCGGGCAGGAACTTGGAGCGAGCCCGCAGTTAGACCCACGTGCGGCCCCGGGCCCGCTTCCGCCTCCTGGCCCCTGGCCGACTCTTCGGTGGGGGAAAGGTTGGGGACCTAACCCCTCCTGCTGCCGGGCCTGGCCGGACACGTGGAGGTGCGCGTTCATTTTCCCCGCTGGTGGGGCCCGGAGCACGTGTTCTGGCCGGCGTGCCTCTGGGGGGCCGATCTGACCGTTCCCCGCTGCGGGCCTGGGGGCCCTGCTGCTACGCCGGATTGTGACGGCTGAGGATTGTGACGGCTGAGGAGGGACGGTTGGTGTGCAAAAGCGAAATGCTAATAAAACCCCCAGCTCCCTGCCCACGCGTCCCAGTTCTGAGATCAGAGGCCTCCGGGAGCTGTCAATCCAACACCTTCACCACGACAAAAATTTCTTAAAAAAAAAAAGCCACCCCAATACAGCAAGAATGTAAGCAGCACGGTGGAATTTCCCCCCCCCCCATTTTAATTTGAAGTGGGGTGTGTGTGTGTGTGTGTGTGTGTGTGTGTGTGTGTGTGTGTTTGGGCAAGATAGGCTGCCAGAGGCCTGATTACTATATTAGTGATTCAAAATATATGTTTGAGCTCAAGGAAGGAAGCCACACACACACACACACACACACACACACACGCATCACCAGCAGCAGCAGCTCTGCTGTTTCCCATTGGATTATATACAATCTTCTTAGTCATTAACATATTATTTTGTTCATGCACTGCTGTACAATTTGATTCTCCACATTCAAAATATTTTCAGATCATAGCAACCAAAGATTCACATTTCTCTCATTTTATAGCACAGCATCTTAGAGCTGGAAGAAGCTTTAGAAACTAGTCCAACCCCCTCGTTTTATAGATGAGGAAATTGAGGCCTAGAAACATGTGGTTGCCCAGGTCACCCTGTAAAGGGGAGGTAGCTCATGGGGGCTCCTAGATTCTCTATGTCTCAGAGACCTTTGCCCTACATCACAGCCACCTTTGCCTTTTCTACTTCTCTTGTGAAATGACAGAAGGTTATTGGGGACCTGGTTTTAATCCCCGGGAATTTGAAGAGGTTGCCTGCTATTTCTGGGCCTTCCTTTGATGGTCTGGAAAAATGAGGGTTAGATCTTCAAATATCTGCAAGTTTTGTGACAATAGTCTGTTCTGGCATCCTGTGTCAGATCAGGGATGGTGAACAGAGTGGTGCCCATCATGTCACCTGTGTCCTCTGCTACCCTTGGAAGCCGGAAGGCCTCACTTCTAATAACACTCCACTCTTAAGTACAGAATAGACAAATTTCGTCTTTAGATGGGAGAGCATTTAGTTTGTTTCCTAATGACTTGAGGCCCTACAAGATGCCAGACTCTGCGCCCTGGGGACACAGGGGAGCTGAGGGCAGTGAGAGAAACAGACAAACAAACACACAGGAGAAAAACACAAGTGTGATGAAAGTGCTTTAATAAACTCAATCAGCAGTGCTTTGGGAGCAAACATTTACTCAATGCCTACGATGTGCCTGGCATGCAGTATGTGCTCAGTACATATTTCTTTTAATTTTATTTATTTTATTTTTTCCCCCAAAGCCCCAGTAGATAGTTGTATGTCATAGTTGCACATCCTTCTAGTTGCTGTATGTGGGACGCGGCCTCAACATGGCCGGAGAAGCGGTACGTAGGTGCGCGCCAGGGATCCGAACCCGGGGCCGCCAGCAGCGGAGGGCGCGCACTCAACCGCTAAGCCACGTGGCCGGCCCACATTTACTCAATGCCTACGATGTGCCTGGCATGCAGTATGTGCTCAGTACATATTTCTTTTAAAAAGAATGAATTATGGCCAAGAGAAAGGTATATGCAGGGAGCTGTGGGGACTATGAAGGAGGAAGAAATTAATCTGCCCAATGGGATGTGGATGAGAAGGACTTCACCTGGCAGGAAGGGATTTTGAGTGGAGCCTAAAAGGATGAGAAGAAATCAAGGAGGAGAGAGGGAGTGAAGAGATTCCGGGCAGACGAGTTGAGACGGTATGGTCAAAGCATCACGCTGGCAGCAGGCACAGTTCAGGATACTTAATCCTCAGAGCCTTAGTGTCCTCATCTGTAAAATGGGATAACAATGCTGACCTCCTATGACCTCCCAGGTTGTTGTAGGGATTAAATGAGATCCCGTGTCTGACTGGTAGAAAGTAGTTTACAACAGTGCTTCTAAACTTTACTGTGCATAGTAATCACCTGTGTCGGGGGCAGAACTCTTGCTAAAATGCAGATTCTGATTCAGTAGGTCTGAGGTGATGCCAGAGGTTCTGCATTTCTAGCAAGCTCCCAGGTAATGGTGGTGCGGGTCCATAGACCACGCTTTGCATAGCAAGGATTTCAGAGGCCAGTGAATAAGAGCGTGAACTTTCGCGTCAGAGTCCTGATATGGAATCCCACTTTCCTGTGTATCCCTGGGAAAGTGACTTCTTCTTTCTGAGCCTTGGTCACATCAGTGAAGTATGGGTAATAATACGTCCTCCCTAACAGGGCCGTGTGAGAAGGGAAACAAGTTAATGGATATACACCACTTAGCAGAGTGTCTGGCACAGCGTAACAGCTGGTAAAGTTTAGTTAGTGATATAAGCGTGGGAAGACAGGACTGGAAAGAGGGATGTTGGGGTCAAATTGTGGGGACTTTGACATTAGATCTTATTCTGTAGCTAGAGGGAGACCACTGACGGTTATTAAGAGACTGATATGGTCATTAAAAAATAGCAGAAATTACGTGCCAGGCACTGTGTTAAATATTTTCTGTATATTTCCAATAAATTCATGTAATCCTATTAGAAAATTATTATCCCCATTTTACAGGTGAGAATCCTGAAGCACAGAGAGGTTCAGCAGCTCACTCTAGGTTACCCAACTAGTAAGTAGAAGAGCCAGGATTCAAACCCAGAGCAACTGACTCCAATACTTGCCTATCTACTCACCTTGCCATAATGCCTCAGTTAAGGATGCTAGAAAGGGACAGTATAAAGAGATAGTGTTCCCCTTGTTTAATAATTGATTCATTCAACAAACATTTGCTGAATGCCTAGCCTTGCGCTGAGGGTTAGAAACCATTCACTCATTTACCAAATCCTTCTTGAGTCTTGCTAAGCACCAGGCCCTGTTCTAGGTGCTGGGGGTGCAGCCTTGAACAAAACCAAGTCTTTACCACGTGGCGCTTACACTGAAGTGGAATGATTAAGACATGGTGTTTGCTTTCAAGGAGCACAAATGTTATGTGACATGAGCTGGAATTGGACAGAAGGTTAGAATCACAGCAGAATATTTTAGTAACATTGGAAAAGATCTTTGCTAGATCTAACAGGAAACACTAGTTGTGAAACACACTGTGGCCTTTTCGTAGTATTTCTCTTTACATACCGATGACTTACTTATGCAATGAATATCTTTGAGCAGTTACTGTGTACTAGGTAACACGCTTGCCACCGAGAATAAAAAAGAGGAATCAGGCCTGCGAGCTAGCTGCCCTGGTGGCTCCCTTAGTTTAGCTGGGAGTCAGATACCCACAGCCACCTTTACAAGGCAGGGTGATAAGTGACACAATGGCATTCACAGATCGATTGCAGGCTATGGAGGCATTTTAATGTACAATTACCTATTTTGATTCCCCCCCTTTGCCCCCAATCTGATAAAATAGACTGTGAAAGGGATTACTGTGAAGTGTTACAGATGAATAAACTGAAGCTCTGGGAGGTGAGATGGCCCGTTCAAGGTTATAAGCTAGCAAGTGGAAATGCTGGGACACACATCCACGCAGCCTGATCCCCAGGCCTTCCACCCTACCACACAGCTAAATACGCTGTGCATTATTAGTGGGATTTTAAAAAAGCCTTACCAACTGGGAAAATGATTTCTTTTAGGCACAGGCTCTATCTGCTTCGAGTCTGGGGACACTCCATGAGGCGGTGACACCCTAGGAAAGCCTCTGGTCCTCTACTGGTCCCTCCAGTCCTGGGTCTGGAGTTCACCTGAGCTGGGGGGGGCCCATCAGGGTTGCGTTTCCAACTTCAGAGGCCACCTCGCCCAAGGTGACTGTGCCTTTCTGAGAAATCGTGCTTCCTTCAAGAAATTTCCCTCCCACCTCCTTTTCCGGCAGACGCCTCCCCCCTCCCGCCTGGCTACTTGGCTCTGGTTCCCCTTCCTCTCGCCTAACGCACGTTGCCGGCCGTGTGTGCAGTCAAGATATGACACCTTGCAGTTAACATTAGTTGTAGCTGTGTTCATCCCTGCACGTCTATTTTCCCAGGCTCTCCTGTGTAATAAGAGTCCCAAAATAGCCCACCTCATGATATATTCTTGGATAAGCTTCCCAGGGCTGACTTTTTTTTCCTCTGTGGCAATTTGTTTCATGAGCACCTGCTATAAAACTTTGAGGGCTCTCACGCCTCTGTAAAGTTTGTGCTTGCTGCCTGTTCCCAGAGAGGGTGAGAGAAGAAGAGGAGGTGGTCATAGCGGATACCATGGGGAGGAAGGGTGTAGATCCTAGAACTGAACTAGTTGAGCAACTCACCTCTGACCCGCTCTGCTGGCCTGGAGAAATGGACACACTGAGGCCTCTCCCCTGCCCCTTCACGACTCAACTGAGGTTTCCATCTCTTCAGCCATGAGTGATTTACTGAGCACTGATTAGGAACTAGGCAAGTTCCTGCCC